ATTTTAAAAATCTTTAAAAATGACAGAATAAATTGCAGTTTACTAAATTAACTAATAATTTTAAACTGCGATTTTCTAAATCACGTGATTTTCCGAACCCCGGCTGGTCCCCATATATTGATTATAATGTTATTGAAATGTATGACTATAATAATATTATTTTTTTACTAAGTATACGATAGTAAAAAAAATGCCTTTAATGTTACGAAGGCAACTTTTTACTATTAAAGCTGTATTAAAAGACGCCTAAGACGATTTTACTTTTTTAAAACGTTAGTAAAAACGTCTCCGAAGCTCCGAAAGCGGCTTTACTATGAAATCGTTAGTATAAGTTGTCTCCGAAATCCAAAGACAGCCTTTACTATGAAATCTTATTTTGATTACAACTTAATCAAATATTTGAGTACTTGATCAAATCGGAACCCTAATTATTAGTATGAAAATAATTAATAATTAATTTGTTAAACAAATGAGAATCCCTGTACTAATTAAGATTGGGATTATCTTAATTTAAAAATTTTTTAGAAAAAATGTGTTAATTATGTTACTTTATTTATCACAGCTTTTTTACTTATTTGTATATGGTGATTCAAAAACGATTTCTGCTTTAAATTCCTAGAAAAATATTTGAAAAGCCTTTTTAATCATAGAACAAATAATCTAATTTTCTGTAAAAGAAATTAATATTTTGTATCACATAGTTACAATGGGCCGAAAATCATCTGATCGCTCGATCATATATTGTGTGTATAAATAACATACATTGATTAAAGGTAATCGATCATTTTTCTTTTCCAAAGTATCGCAATGTCGTTAAAAACCATGAGTAGTCTCCAAACCGATGGAGCAAATAAAAAGTATGCAAAAGCAACCAAAAAGATAAATTTTTTAGCGAAATTTGCCAAATATTTGGTGAATAATCAAATAGGTGGAGTTTTTATTAAATTGTCGAACTCATTTTCTCGTTACATATTATACTTGGACATGCACATATTAATATTTACTGGTTTTTATGATTTTAGATTTTCCTATACGAATTATAGCGCTCCTTTCATTAATGTATTTACTTAAATTTCCCGGAGCAGACAAGTTCTTTCTCCTTCAACATGAAGATCCAAAAACGGGACTTTATAAGAAGGGAAGAGATGACGTGTATTTTGTTTTCACGTGGGTTGTTCTTTTTACTTCCTTACGTGCAGCTACAATGAAATATTTATTGACACCCATAGCAAAACTTTGTGGAATAAAGAAAAATACTCAACGAATAAGGTTTGCTGAACAAGGATGGTCATTTTTATATTATTCCATTTTCTGGACACTTGGTATGGTGAGTAAGGCTATAAGACCCAGAAATTTTGCCATCATTATTTCGTCAATCTCCCATAAATTTCCATCCTTTAAATTTTAAAAAAGAGAAGGGAGAGTGGGAATTGGAATTTATTAATTCGAAGATTTTGACGAATTAAGAACGAATTAATTGATTGGCTTTATGAATTCTTTCCTTGCTTATTGAATTGATTTTAGTATGTAATGTCCAAATCACCTTATTGGTTTGATACCACATATTTTTGGAAAGGTTATCCACATATTGAAATGTCGGGCCTTTTCAAGTGGTATTATCTGGTGCAATTAGCTTTTTGGATTCAACAAGTTTTCGTCATTAATATTGAAAAGAGACGAAAAGATTTTGTCGAAATGGTGGCCCATCATGCGATTACCATCTCATTGATTTATTTTTCTTATTTAATGAACTTTACTCGAATTGGAAATGCTGTTTTATGTACTATGGATTTTGTGGACCTTATATTACCAGTAAAGTTAATTTAATTTGTTTCGTCTTTTTATATTGTTAATTTATTATTTCTTAATATTTTATTTATTTATTTTTTTTTTTTTTTTTTTTATTTTTTTTTTCTGTAAAGTTCGCTAAAATGCTAAAATATTGTGGATTCAATGTAGTTTGTGATTATGTTTTTGGATTCTTTATGCTATCATGGGTGGTGACACGCCATTACTTCTATGGATGTATAATATATAGCACATGGACTGAGCCTCAACAATTAATAGAATTTAAATGGGCACCAGAGGAAGAATATTATGTAACAGAAAATTCTATGGGATTTTTTTTGACTCTCTTCTTATTTTTACAGGCATTAATTTATTTTTGGTTTTATTTGATTTGTCGTGTCGCGTATCGAGTAATCAAGGGGGATAATGCACATGATAATCGAAGTGATTCTGAATGGTAAGTATATAGTCATAAGAATTATTGTATCTTCGCGCCTTATAACAAAAAATTTTTTTCTTTATTTTAATTCTAGGGAAGAAACCGAAGCAAATACTAATTTTGCAAAAGAGATAAAGAACGAATAAGCAACTTTAAAAATAGAGAAATTTTTTCAATTTTTTTACATTATATCCGAAAGCATTATATATTTATTATTTGGACATAACATAAACTGTATAAAAAGTTATGTATTTTAAAAAAATTACAATTAATTTATAACCTAATATATATTTGATCTAGTAAATTATCACGGCTTTTTTTTAAAAAAAAATCTTAAGATAGCAATTAGGTCAAGAATCCTGCATTTTCTGTACTTATTTGAATAAGATTTGTTAAATTCAAAAAAAAACCTTAATAATGAATAAAATGAAGCAAACGAGATCGACCAAAAAAATAACCAATTTACGATTTTTTGATCGAGAATTTTACCATGAATTGCAACAAACTTCTAATTTATTATATGTATTATTACAGCAGAAGACGAACAGATGATGATAAAACTTCAAGAAAGAAGAAGACAATATTATTAAAACGCGTTCAGACGTGTCGTCATCTAATTGTAAAATTGATCAAGGTAACTACAAAACTGATCGTTTAGATCGCGATCTGATCGTTTCAATTATCTAGGGCTCAACTTTTGGTCGATCCGGTCCGTCGGCTTAATAAATCAACTAATCATCAAACCAATCTGTGCGACAGTCTATTGTAACTATCCAAATATATAATATTGGTACCGCTTAAGTAAACGACAAAATTGTGAAATAAATCAAGATATTTTAAAATAAATCAAATGGTATAAATTTGTAAAGGAATTAATGAGTAGAAATAATGAAAGGGTAATAAACTTTGATAATATATGTTTTATTAAATTGAAAGTGACTCTAATGAATTATTTTTTATTAAAGTAGTAATGCCAATAGAGGAAAAAAGTAGATAATATATTTAATAATTGGAGTTAAAATAAAAATTATAAATAGTTTTATATAAAAATTTATTAGTAAATAAAAATTGAATTTGAAGTAACCAAAGTTTATTTAAGTTGTAAAAATGGTTAAATAAATAAAATATAATATTGGTAGAATGCTAGTAAAATATGATTTATGTTTAAATAGTAAATGAATAGAGTAGGATAAAGTATTGCATTTTTTAAAATTGATTTAAGTTTAATACAGTATTTTAAAAAAGGATATAAAATCATATTAATGATGTAACAATTTATATATCAATTATTTTATAGCATTTACAAATTTATTAATTTATTAATATCTTAAAATTTTTTCTTCTATATACAGTATATCTAAAAATCAGA